GAGCCACTTTCTAGAGAGGCCAAGGTCACCATAGTTGCCAGGTTGGCCTTTTATCATCATTGGCAGATCAGGAAACTGGTTCCCTATCTCTCCCCCGGGACTTGGCTACAGTGACCCATGCAATGGTCACTTCCAGGCTTGATTACTGTAACTCACTCTGTGCGGGCTTACCCTTGAATCTGGTCCGGAAACTCCAGCTAGTGCAAACTGTGACAGTGTGCATGCTGACTGCAACATCAGTGCGGGCATGCATTCAGCCGGTGCAATTGCACTTGCTACGAATTGAGTACCAGATCTGTTTCAAGGTGCTGGTATTGACCTTTAAAGCCCTATGTGGCCTGGGACCAATGTATCTAAGAGACTGCCTCTCTCCATATGTGCCCCAGAGAGCCTTGCACTCAGTGGACCAACATTTACTGATTGTCCCCGGCCCAAAGGACATACACTCAGCCTTAACCAGTGGAACATGCTCCTGTCTGAGATCAGGGCCCTGCAAGACCTATTAGTTTCACAGGGCCTGCAACATGGAGCTGTTCTGCGAGGCCTTTGGTTGAGGCAGCTGGCACCCAATTATTTGGCCTCCCTTGCTGAAATCTCCCAACCATATCTGGCACTCATTAATGAGATTTATCACCACTAGTCCCCAATTTGCTTAGCTATCAAAAATCCTTTCAGATGCTTTGGTTTCCTGTAGTAGAATATTTAACGGAAAGGAACATAGTTCCTAATAACTTTCATTTTCAAGACCCGTTATTCTTTTAAAATAACAGTAAGCTGATTAAGCTCTGTACAGAGACATATTGTTATATACAGATTTGTTTTATTTTCTTGAGGTGAAGTGAAATCTTTTATGTTTGTATGATGTTTAATTAAAAATAAAAACTTGTATTAAAAAAAGGATCTATCACTGTTCCTTGGTTTGTGGCCTAGTTGCTGCCAGTCGTTTAATATTGCTGGAACCTTATGAATTACATCATTTATATCACCTGCCATTTTAATTGTTTAACTAACTTATTTGTTATAACTTGTTTTTAATTATTTTTGGTTTCTTAGTGGTTTTATAACTCGAAATAAGTAACTAATTAAATAAAACCCAGAGAAGAGCTATATTGGCTTATGAGAGCTAAAATATCTGGGGTTCCTCTTCAGCCAACGGCAATTGAGACCATTTCCCAACAAGGTGGTTACTTTAGAACAGAGCCCCCTTGTACCAAGTGTCAATTGAAGCGATTTTTAGAACTGATGGGGTATTATAGTAAATTAATTCCTCACTTTGCCACCATAGCCAGCCCCCAGGCAGACTGCTTGAAGAAGGGGCAACCCATCACAATTCACTGGAATGGACCCAAACAGACATAATTTGATACCCTCCATCTGAGGCTCTCCAGTGGGCCCAACCTCCATAATCTGGACTTCAATCACCCATTTGTGGTCCAGACTGACGTATTTGGCTCTGGAATGGGTGCTGTGTTGTCCCAGGTGGAGGAGGGCCAGGAGCACCCGATACTCTTCATTAGCCACAAGTTAAAGCCAGATGAACAACAATACACAAACATTGAGAAGGAGGCCCTGGCAATCAAGTGGCCGGTGGGAGTGCTCCAGTATTATCTAATGAACAACCCCTTTACCCTAGTGACCAACCACATACCCCTAGTGTGGATGGCCTGGGTGAAGGACCACAATCAACGGGTCCTTAGGTGATACCTCTCTCTCCTTCCTTTTCGTTTCACTGGGGAGAAGACATTGCCTGGGGAGAAGACATGTCAATGCCAACTATATGTTTCAGATCTTCGAAGACGCAGACCTGGGCTCAGCATCCGGAGGGTGTCTGGGGCTGGTGTGGAGTCAACAGGCGGGAGGTAGACATAAAAGGAGGCTCCTGGGAACAGGCCAAGGAGGAGCAGGGCTGGAGGCTGGAGGCTCATAGCTCAAAATGAAGCCTTCCAGCTGGGAAGCTGAGGTCTCAGGTGACTCTGAACTCCCTCCCTTCCCATTCTGAGGCCCGAGGAGCATCCCGACAGTGGCGTGCGAAATGGCAGGAGGCAGCATCCCCCAGGGGCAGCCTCTGGGCATGACAGGAACTAACAGCTTTAGGGCTGGGTTCTGCTAATACCTTAATTTCCAAGCATCTTTTTGAGTTAGATTTATTTATCTCATGTATGCAAGCTCAAAGGGTTTGTTCTCCAACTACTTGGGTCTTTGTATCCACAGGGCCTTCCTGCCTTTTTTTTTTTTTTTTTAACTGTGCCACGCAACAGGAGAGTTTTGATGCTATCTCAGTTATTATATGGGTGATATAGGCTTTATTCTGATACGACATGCCTCTGTGCATTGGGGCAGATAGATACATTGGAACACTGTCTTTTAGAGTGCAGCCTATTTGCACACACAAGAAAGAAATTGATTTCACCTTGTTTGCAAGGAGTTATTGATGGGCCTATAGGCGATAAATTGAAATTTCTGTTGGCTGGGTCAGATCCTAATGTAACCCTATCAGGTTTTTTTGCAGAGTAGTGACAGATAGAAAAGGATTGCGTGATTTTATCTCAGGGGCTTTTATTGTGATTCAGCTCATGGTCTTTAGGCTGACAGAGCTATATCACTACAGTAAAGTCAAATCCTGTGCCTGGCAAGCAGAGAACAGCCAGCTGCCCGCTGTAACACCTATAAATGTCTGGCAATAATTATTTTTATGGGCCCCAAAGTCCCATAGGATTAGTTGTCTTTTCTTTTTTTAACGCAGCGCTCAAGCTAGCTTGGAAATCATTTTGTCTCTGACCTTGTCTTCTAATCTTTGATGATGGAATGGTCAGTGCCTACTGGCTATGTAATTATTAAACATTATTTTATATTACATGGCTTGGATCCAAATATGCAATAGCTGAATTCTACTTGTGCATCAAAGTCAAGCCAGTTTGGTGTAGTGGTTAGGAGTGGCATACTCTAATCTGGGAGAACCGAGTTTGATTCTCCCACTCCTCCACATGCAGCTGCTGGTGTGACCTTGGGTCAGTCACAAGTTCTTTCAGAGCTGTTCTCTCAAGAGCAGTTCTCTCAGAGCTCTCTCAGCCCCACCTACCTCACAGGGTGTCTGTTGTGGGGAGGGGAAGGGAAAGGAGATTGTATGCTGCTCTGAGTGAAGGACGGGGTATAAATCCAATCTCCTCCTCCTCTTCCTCCTCCTCCTCCTCGTCCTCCTCCTTCTTCTTCCAGCACCGCAGCCTTTTGTGGCATCCCTAATTCACTCTTGAGGATTGGGTGACCCTATAGAATGGTGTGAGAGGTGGTGTGGTGATGGGGTAAGTTTGCCAAGTCTCTTATCTGGAATAGCAGGGGGGACCCGGACCCAGACCGGGAGCACGCACCCCCCGCAATGATGTCGCCCAGAAGTGACGTAATCACGCTAGGCACATCGCAAGGCAACGCTCTAGCAATCGCCCTAAAAACTCTATGGTACCATATGGTACCATAGAGTTTTCAGGGTGATTGCTAGAGTGTCGCCCTGCAACGTGCCCAGCGTGATTACGTCACTTCTGAATGACATCATTGTGCTGGGCACGTCAGCCTGATCTGGCCACTTCAGGGGTAGGATTCCCCCTGCCGGCTGGATCCAGACCGGTGGATTGGGGGCCCATTCAGCAGGGGAATCCCCCCCAGGGGGACTTGGCAGCCCTATGATGGGGTTACCAACCCCACTGGGGCCTACAGTTCTCCTGGAATTATGACATGACTACAGATATCAGTTCCCACTGGAGGAAATGGGAGTTTTGGAAAGTGCACTCCATAGCATCGTATCTCCGCTGAGTACTTTCCCTTCCCTAAACGCTGCCTTCCCAGGAGCACCCCCAAATCTCCAGGAATTTCCCAAGCCAGAGTTGGCAGCTCTATGGGATGGGTTAAATCTCAGAGTGAGTCAGAGGTATTATCTGGGGCCATCTGGATCCATGCATATGTTTTTATACTGGGTACAGTCCAGAAAGTGAAGTGAGGATTTCAGTGAGGGATATCAGTGGGGAGTCCTTTCTTTTGTGGCATCACACTGTGTATGTTTTTATAATATACATTTGAGGTATTGGCAGTCACATTCAAAGCTCTTTGTGGCTTTGATCCCTCTTATCTGCCAGACCACCTGCTGTCACCCTATGCTCTGCCATGACAGCTTTGCTCACGTCAGCTGGGACTTCTGCAGGCTTCTGCAAATGGGCAAAATCCACAGCTGCCCATACACAGGCTTTTCCCCAATTTTGACTCCCATCCTATGGAATGGTCAGCCCGAGGAGGTCGGGAAGATTCCTGCTCTCCTGGCTTCCTGCAAATGATGCAAAACTGAATGATTCAAGAGGACTTTCCCACACAGGGTTGCACTGTATAAAATGGTTTACAAAGTTACTGTGGTCTATGCTGCCGTATATAACTTACTGTGAGTGGGATCCTGTTATATAATTTTTGTACTGCTTAATGTGTCATGTTAATAATCATGGTATGCTTCAGTTCATTCTGACTGGTTACAGACTTTTACAGTCCTAATGCATTTTTACTGACTGTCCCATTTTGTTGACTGTATTGACTCACCCTGTGTAACCCACCTTGAGTCCCCGTGAGACAGACATACTATAAATAATAGAAATAAATAAATAATAATAATAATAATTATTATTATTATTATTAATTAGCCGAAAGGAAGGCAGCTGTGAATATAAGACATTTTGCCTTAAAATGTTACAAATGAAACATTTTTAATTACTGAACATACTTGTAACTTCTTGTGAATGTAAGACAGCCCTTGTTTTTCTTTAACAGCATACCAGGAAAAAATAACCCAGTCTTCCTTTTCGGTAAAAAGTTATAGCCTGCTTGTTCGCAGAAAATGGATTCATAGAAGATTCTTTATCATTCTATTTCCATGTTCACCTCAACATCGAATGTATTTTATACTTCTGTGTATAACGGGTCCTATTTTTCCTTTCTTAAAAGGTCTATAGTAATCTTTGTTCTTGTAGGTTCAGGGTTTGGTGCAGCTACAAAAGCTATGTGCTTAGGGATGAGGTACTGGAAGCCTGAGAGGCTGGAAACTCTCATTGAAGTGAGCATTGAAGTTGGACGGATGACTCACAACCACCCTACAGGTAATGTCCTGGGAAATAAACCATTCTAATTATGCTATATAGAGCTTTACATTCAACAAGCATAGCTTCTTCTGTAGATAGGGTTGCCAACTTCCAAGGGTAGCCTGGGGTTCTCCCAAAACTACAACTGATCCGCAGACTAACCCGATCAGTTCACCTGGAGAACATGGCTGATTTGGCATTATACCCCTCTGAGATCCCTCCCCTCCCCAAATACCACCTTCTTGGGCTCTACCCCGAAACCTCTAGGAATTTCTCAACTTGGAGTTGGCAACTCTAGCCGTAGGACACCTGAGTGTGTTCTGATGTCTGAGGATGTACCCTAGTGTGAATCAAGGCTACAGAGACAGATCAGTATTCCTCATAAGGAAAGCCTACAAGAGCCATCACAAGAGAATCGTCAGCCTGTCAGTCCTTATTATGGCCCACAAGCCAAGCAGAAGTATTCTGCAATTCAAGAATAGTTGAATTCATTATTGAATTAATTACCTTCATAAAATCTCTGCGTGTATCATTCATCCTAGTATATCTAACAGTTTAAGAGTTAAGACTCAGACTAAATTATACAGAGGATGTTATCTCAGCCCTCATTTTCATTGCAGAGAACAGAAACTTAGCTACAGATACAGTAGTTCTTCGGTTGAGAGTCTTGTTTTTGAGAGTCTCCTGCTTGGAGAACAGTTTTTTTAATCGATCAACACCATCCCCCAAGAATAGTGTGTTAGTGCAAAGTTCTCAATCTATTGTTTTAATCTTGTTTGTGCAAACATATCCCTGAAAGAGAATGCAGCTTCAGATGTGCTCACTGGATATCTTTAAGCCAGTGAGAACCAGTGCAGTGCAGTGCAGTGATTGAGAGTATCTGTGAGACCTGAGTTCAAATCCCCACTCATGCCATTGAAGCTTGCTGGGTGACCTTGGGCCAGTTAAGAACCTAGAAAGTTAAAAGAATCCAAATTGAAGGGCCCAGTATTTAAATAACTGAATATAGAAGATATATATATATATATATACACACACACACACACACGCAAATACATGTATTTATCACAAAATGATTTTAAAACAATTACAGCCCCAAATTACAGCTTCAGTTCAGATTAAAATCACACAGTAATCTCAAACATAGAGCGTATGCGACCCTGACCAAACATGTTTCGGCCTCATGGCCTTCTTCAATGGTCAAGCATAGTTGTTACACATTAGCTCCAAACATTGCAATAATATCACAATAATTACTCAATATAGGACTGTTGAGATTGTTACATATTTGGGGCTGTAATTGTTTTTAAATGATTTTGTAATGAATACATGTATTTTGTGTATATTTTTTATATAATGTCCTATATTCAGTTATTTAAATACCGGGCCCTTCAATTTGGATTCATTTAACCTTCTAAGTTCTTAATTCATTCATTTGGGTTAAGTTTTCTCTCCCCCCCCCCCTCATTTGTTTATAAAATTATGCATGGGATAGAGCAGGTAGAGAAAGAGGTACTTTTCTCCCTTTCTCACAATAAAAGAACTCGTGGGCACTCAATGAAATTGCTGAGCAGTTGGGTTAGAAGGGATAAAAGGAAGTACTTCTTCACCCAAAGAGTGATTAACACATGGAATTAATTGCCACAGGAGGTGGTGGCAGCTACAAGCATGGATGGCTTCAAGAGGGAATAGGATAAACATATGGAGCAGAGGTCCATCAGTGGCTATTAGCCACAAGGTATAGATAGGAACTCTCAGTCTGAGGCAAGTGATGCTCTGTCTTCTTGGTGCTTGGGGGGGGGGGTCAACAGTGGGAGGTCTTCTAATGTCCTGGCCCCACTGGTGGACCTCCTGATGGCACCTGGTATTTTTGGCCACTGTGTGACAGAGTGTTGGACTGGATGGGCCTTTGGCCTGATCCAACATTGGCATCTCTTATGTTCTTATGTTTTTTGTTTTACCTTGGGCTGGTCACATTCTCTCAGCCTAACCTGCCTCACAGGGTTGTTGTAAGGATAAAATGGAAGAGAGGAGAATGATGTAAACTGCTTTGGGTGCCCACTGGGGGAAAAGGCGGGGTACAAAACAAATGAACAAACAAACGTAATTAACTTGCTTTCTTTTGTACCCAGGGAGCTGATTCTCCCACTTTTTGTGCTATTTAGGGGGATGCAGACCCCTAATCATTACTTTCATGTGCTAATTTTAGGTTTTCTAGGATCGCTGTGCACAGCTCTGTTTGTCTCCTATGCCATACAAGGCAAGCCACTCGTCCAGTGGGGAAGAGAAATGATGAAGGTTGTCCCAATGGCTGAGGAATTCTGCAAAAAGACCATTCGGCATATGGCAGGTACTATATGTACAATTTCAAAATTCAGCTGCAAGGAGATTCAAGTTTTCTTCACAGTCATTTTTACTGGATTGCCTGATTTCCCCTCCTGTGGCTTCAGAGGCTTCCTCTTTAATCTGGGGCCGAGTGGGGTTGTTCCAAGACCAGGAAGCGATGAAATTGCCCACCCATTTTAAGATATACCTATGTATACAGGCCCACACGTGTAATTCGAAGAGCAAACTCTTATTGGAGCAAAGGTCTGGTGAAACTAGCAGTGGGCTTCAGGCACAATCATCCTTCGCTGAAGTTCTATGACTTTTAGCTAAACTTTTTTTTTTAGATTAGACCAGGTGCAGGATTAAGGAGTGTAGGTCTGCCTTTGACAGAAGGAAGCTGCTGTCACTCCACGAGAGCAACACCACCGCTGAGCAAAATATGTGAGCCTCCTGAAGCATGTGCTTGTCATACCAATGTTGTGGTGCCTAGAGCTATTTTAAAGAAGGAAACTCTGCTTGCAACAGGATTGGGTCCCTTTTCTCTAGTGTGTGTGTTAGGGTTGCCAGGTGAGGCTGACAAGCGGGCGGGAGATTTACCAGGAGGCTCTGGGAGAGGGGAGGGAGGCTCTGGGAGAAGGAACTCTGGAGTTCCAGGTGGGTTGCTGTTGCATTTAAATGCTTTCCTCCATTGGAAATAATGGAGGATGGGTCTCTTTCTTTTTGGGCTCATAAAATTGGACCCCCTGGTCCAATTTTTTTGAAACATGGGTTGTTGTTTTTTAGAAAAGGCACCAGCAGCTATGCTGAAAATATGGGCCTCTAACTCAAAAACAGCCCCCCCCCAGATACCCATGGATCAATCCTCCATTATACCCTATGGGAACACGTCTCCATAGGGTATAATGGAGTGCCCAGCAGCTATCCCCCCTGCTTTCTGATAGCCATGAAGCGGGGGGAGGGGGTCCAAATCGGTGGATCCCCTGCCCCCAACTGGGGATTGGCACACATCCTGTTTCTTCAGAACAAAACCATGTAAAGTTCTTGTTTGTCCACTAAGCCTCTTGCCTGCCAAGCTTGTTCTCAGCCTGCTTATTCTTAGCACTAGACACCTTAAGTAAATTAAACAGCTTGCAGGGGGTAGGTTAGGGTCTTTGCAGATTCCATCAGCACACCTTTCCCAGAGCTTTCTTGGCACACTTGCTCCTGCTGCTCAGGAACTGTATGCAGTAGTGCAGTGGTCCTGATGCAGTAGAGGAAGCTGTATTCAGAAGAAGGGGGATTAAAAGGAGAGTAGGCCCAAGGCTATGTGTAAGACATAGGGTTGCTGAGCTCCAGGTGTGGGGCTGGAGTTCTCCTGGTGTTATAGGTAACCTCCAGACTACCGAGATCAGTTCCTATCAGGGGTCGTTTCGTAGAAAAAGAGCTAGGGGAACTCATTAGCATAACTCATTAGCATATGCCACACCCCTTGACATCAGGGGCTCGGTGGTAGACCTGCAAGGCCAGCGGGAGTGCGAGGAAGCCCCGCCAAGGCCCTCCCTGGCCCCAGGCAGGCAGGGGTTAGGAGAGGCGGGGAGGAAGCAACTTACCCTCCCTCTTCTCCTGCCTCCTCCTGGCTGAATGAGGGCCAGAAGCAGGGGGCGGGGCTTCATCGTGTGCCCCGCCCCCCACACCTCACCCGGGGGAATTGTGATCCCCCCCGAATTGACCTCTGGTTCCTATAGAGAAAATGGCACTTTCAGAGGGTGGAGTCTGTGGCATCACATTCCTGTTAAACTCCCTCCCTTCTCCAAACTCTGCCCTCCTCAGTTTCACCCTCCAAATCTACAGGAATTTCCCAACGTACAGTTGGCAACTCTAACAACACCATAGTGTTTAGCAAATATGTATCAGATGCAAAGCCATAGGGGTGGACATGGGGGCAGCTTCCTGATTTGGAAGTGGGAATGACAGAGAATAAGCTTTGGGAAGATCCCGAGTCCAGACTGAACAAAGGACTTTGTAGCTGGATGCGGAGTGTCCAGCACACCAAAGGTTTCCAGGCTATACTGGAAGAGACAAAAGGCAATGGTAGTATTTTGCCTAGGGTGCCAAAATATACTTACTATATCCTTGTAATCTATTTGCAGAATAGGGTGATTATTCCATAGGCAAAGGTTACACATGCAGAGGAATAAAAGCCTTCAGTTTCTGTTGCCATCATCAAAATGTTTATGCAAAGGCCCTGACCAACATAGTCCAGGTAAGCCTGATATCGTCAGATCTCGGAAGCTAAGCAAGGCCTACCCTGGCAAATATCAAGCCACCTCTCTGAACCATCCTAGCCCAATTAGGCCCAATTCCAGGCACAGAAGCACACACACACAAACTCCCCATAAAATGTTTATGTAAATGAGAAGCATAGAAAGATAATAAGTATCAAAAGGGGTATAGGTAAAGAGTATACATTTCTACATCACAGATAACTTTTTCCAAAACATGAAAAAGGAATGCATACAGGTTCACTCACAAAGTATGGTACAAATATTTATTTATAAGAGCAGTGGTTAAAAAACCATTTTTGCTTGTCAGTGTCCTAGTCTGTATGTCTCTGTTAAAATAAATACTTTGCTCTGCAATTGATAGTGTACACAGATGACTTCCTGCAGTAAAAATTATATGTATAGCGCCATCAGTTTAAGATTACATATTTTTCACCTTTCCCTGTGCAATATCTATCATCCACTAGCAGTGAAACCCATTGATCTGAACCCATCTGAACTCATTGATCCAGTAGGTTTAGACTCTAATAATTCCGCATAGGACTGCCTGTAAATATCTCATACATGAGTCTGCATTGGAAATATTCCTAATAATGAATACTAGGGATATGCATCTGGATATTTATGGTTTAAATATTTATCCAATAAATACTGTATTGTTATTTTTCGATTATATTCGTGTATCCATAGAGATATTCAGGGCTGGCATTTTAACACTCCCAGGCCTGTTTTTCTTCAATCTCACAGGTTTGTTTGGGCTTGCAATTGTGTGCCTAAGTTGGTTTGGCTTGGATTCCGTAGTTTGACATTGGTTATGTTGGGCTTGTAACAGTGCCCCCTGCTTAAGTCAAGTTGGCTTGGATTCTCTGATTTGACATTAGTTGGGTGGGCTGGCGCATGGTTCCACTGGAATTCTCTAGTTTGACACTGGTTTTATTGGGCTTGTTGATTCTGTTTGCATTTGGAGGCTTTTGGCCAGTGGTTGCTCATGTGTGTGGCTTTCTTTGCCCCGGAGAAAGCATGTAATGTGCCGCCTGTAGGAAACAATTGAGACAAGCAGAGAACACCTTGTTCAGGGGCTCATAGAGCTGGAACCCTTGATCCAATTTGCTTGAAACCTGGGGGTCTTTAGTGGACAGGAAGTACTAATTTCTCTGTAATTTTGGTGTCATTTGCTTGAAACAGCCATTCTATCCCTCTGGAAAAAGTCCCCCATAGGCAACAATTAAGATGATTCTGATTGGTGAGTATGAGTGTAGGAATTCTTGGGGAGAAGAAATGTAATTTAAATCTTTCACCTTTAATGAGTCCTGGGACCCTTTCTAAATATTCCAGATCAATTGATGAGAAATGACTGCGTAGCAAAAAAACAAAGGTGTTCCTTGGTTGCGGGCTTTGAAGACCAGTTGATCATACGACCTTGATAAGGGAAGATATTCAGAGCAATTTTACTATGTTCCAAAATCAGGGGTGGAGTGATGTATAGATGTTCCTCTTGAAAGCTCCATCCTTTCCGTCCATCCTTTCCCCTTCCATCTCCTTGTTTGGTGTAGTGGTTAAGTGCGCGGACTCTAATCTGGGAAAACCGGGTTTGATTCCCCACTCCTCCACTTGCACCTGGCTGGATAACTTTGGGCAAGCCATAGTTCTGGCACAGCTGTTCTTGAAAAAGAGCAGTTTCTGTCAGAGCTCTCTCAGCCCCCCCTACCTCAGTTTAGTGTAGTGGTTAAGTGCGCGGACTCTAATCTGGGAAAACCGGGTTTGATTCCCCACTCCTCCACTTGCACCTGGCTGGATAACTTTGGGCAAGCCATAGTTCTGGCACAGCTGTTCTTGAAAAAGAGCAGTTTCTGTCAGAGCTCTCTCAGCCCCACCTACCTCACAGGGTGTCTGTTGTGGGGAGGGGAAGAGAAAGAAAGTTGTGTCTGCTCTGAGACTCCCTTGGGTACTGAAGGGTGGGATATAAATCCAATCTCTTCTTGTTCTTCCTTGATCGGCACATAAGATGTTATGTGAGGGTGAAGGTGAGGATGGCAGTGGTTGGTTCCAAAATCTTTTATCCTCAGGGTCTAAACAATCCTTTCCACTTAATAATAATAATAATAATAATAATACTTTCCATTTATTAATCGCTTTCCCCAGTGGGCTCAAAGCGATGTACAGTTACTCAAATACAGACAAGGGACTAACAATGTTTGTAGGGGATAGGGAAGACAACATATATATTCATTTTAAGTGCACACGCCGATACTGCCCGGTGTAGAACTTCTTGGCTGGCTTTGTCGTTTTCCGGCACGGCTGCTTGCTGCTCAGGCTCCAGGACCCGTATGTCTGTCGCCACACTGCCACCGCCTGGCCGGAACGTCCGTTGCAGGAGTTCGATCTGTAGCCGGCAAGCTGTTTTGCCTTTACAAGCCGGCCCGTGACCATCGACGTTCGACCGTCAGCTAACGCCCTCCAGAAGGAAGATTGGCGTGCCCGCCCTCGCTAAGGAGCGGTTCCCATTTTATCTACTCGCCGGAGCTTTCGAATCGCTGGGTGGACGATGAGCTGGGGACAACAGGCTGGCTGCTCACACCAGCGCGGGGCTTGAACTGACATAGTTCAGATGTTAAGGCAGTGGGATATACCCACTGTGCCACCGCTCCCCAACTTAGTTTGGTTGAGAGAGTACCAAGCTGTTCTGTAAACAGGTCAACCTTTTCAAAAAAATTTGCAGAGTTTCAGAGATTAAAAGGGTTTGGGATGCCAGCAAAGCCAGTATCTATCTCTTATTTGTGGCAGTATTTCCCCCCAAAAAAAAACTCATCAAAGGCTTCCAGGTTGATCAGAAAGTCATAGGCAATAATGGACCCCAAACATTTTGGTATTCTGGGGGGAAAAAATTCTAAAATGATATTGGGGATCTGAATAATCCAGAATATTGGTATGGAAACCCTCCTGAAATCCAGGTCTGAAAATATTACAAACTTTTTCAAGTGTACATTCCTAATGAATACTACCTTCTGCTTCTTTAAATTTGGCTGGCACCTATTTATCTTGTTTGAGGACTCAGATAATTTTGTACATCATTTTGAAATCATCTGAATGCTTTTCATGTTAAATGTTTTGGAAATTACCATAACTTTCTGTAGCATTGTCATTGTTCAAAATCTTAATGTGGAAAAGATCTTTAGAGCTAAAGAAAATAGGAATGTGTAATCCAGTAGCTTTATGAGGACTACAGCTTTGTTATATGGTATTTTATTTTGCTTTTACTTATTTTATTTTCTGATATTAATTTAAATTATGCCAAGAAATAGCTATATTTTATTCTTAAATTTTCCTTGATAATTATTCTGTAAACCACAATGTAAACCAAAGGTTATTCAAATGCAGCCAAAGAAGCATTCCAAGAAAAAACATAAATATATTTTGTATTCAGAATATCAGGAACACTGGTTTTACTTTGAAGCAAAATGGCAGTTTTATTTGGAGGAGAGAGAAATCACTGAAGAAAATCAGAATAAACCTGTATTTCCTGAAAATTATGATGCCGAGGAAAGAGAAAAGGTAAACTCTTCAAGTAAAACATCTGAATGTATTTTTTTAAAAAATGTGTACAATTAGGTATCTCTTTGAAAGTAGTAGAAATTATGTTGTAAAAGTATGCAGTCTTGTAATTACGCAGCCTCATTTTGACTTAATTGGCTTTCAAATTTTAAATCTACCTTGCTTATATACAGGGAAATAATTATGGCCTACTAACATAAATTACTAGCAGTCACAGTGGACTGAATGCTATTAGCTTTTGGGTCAAATGTTGTAAAGGCATGCCTTGTCAGATAGTCTGTGTGAAATATTATATCAGTACAGGCGGTTTTAACTTTATTCTGCACTTAATCATGGTTTGCTGGGGATTTAATTTAAAAATAGAACTTAAAAATAAATAGGATTGTATTAACCAGGACTTATGAACGTTATGAAAGATGACTGTGGGCTGGCTTCCTCACCCTGGGTGCAGCTAGTGTTGGAAGTAGCCAAAGATGAATGCATCCAGGGCTTTTTCTTTCTTTCTTTTTTGGGAAAAAGAGGTGTTGGAATTTTCAGGAGGGAAATGAAGTTTTCAATCTGTTTACTGAAAACTCGTGAACTTTTAAACATTTTTTAAAAAGAAATTTTGTCGAAGAGGTTCCGGAACTCCGTTCTGGCGCATTCCCCCTGAAAAAAAAGCCCCAAATATTTGCATATAGCACCGTGACTTTTTAAAGGAAAGTTAAGAGAAAGGGGGGTAATCAAAACAATCTATTTTGTGTTCAGCTTTAAGAGGAGGGGCATCATAATCATGGCTTCAGATTCCACTTACCATTTCCAAAAAGGAATTCGTTGTCAAGGTCTTTGATCATTCTTCAGAAGTGGGGGTGATAAAGGGACAGCTTGTAGAGGAAAGGGCAGGAAAGCAACAGTGAGAGTGACAGTGGGGCTTGTTCACCCCTCCCATCATGGAATGGCACTCCAAGTGGTCGCTTGCCGCTATCTATCCAAACACTATCCAGAGAAGGCATCTAGTGGGAATGCTTGAAGTCCTAAGGCAGGCAAAGTGTCAGACTCCAAAGGTAGAATATGGGGAAGGATGGAGAGCCGGAGCTCAGTCTGGTGTGGTCCGGAGATGACTGGCCAATGAGGAGCTCCTTTGGCTTCTTTGGTCATCTGAATGGTCCTGAGACAAGAATTTCCCTAGTTTCCACATCTGCTTGTTGTACTGTGAAAGCTACTGTATTAAACATGTCGGCCTGTGGTGAAATAGACATGCGTGTGTGCTTGGCATAATATGATACTCATATCAAGGAAATCATATTGTATGAAAGAGAAAATGAAAGAGAGAAAGGAAGATCAGTCTACATCAGATGAGAGGAAGCCAACTACAAGTCCAAGCTTCTGTCTACAGGGTCATAATCACCCTCTCTTCATTTGTCTGCCTCTTTACACAGTGTTCAGCAGCCAGTGAATTAAATAAAGGGTTGCCAAGAACAACAAAAACAGTACCATGCAGTCCCCTCTCACAGATAGCCAAGGAAGCAACCTTGTAGAATCATGTGTAGACCTAAGTGACTAATGACAGACAAATGGCTGCAGCCTTGACAACAGTTAGGCATGTTGCAAATAGTCTCCATAATCTTGGAGAAGCCGCTCAAGGCAAAATAGAGTTGTTATTTGAACAGGGGCTCCACTAAAGACATTAAAAATCTGATGACATGATTTAGAGATGACGACCTTTCTACTGCACCTGCCCCCAAGCCAAGCATGAGTACGTCTACCTTGTTTCCCACTTTAATATTTCAGACACTGAAAAATATTTAAGGCAAAGCCAAGCCAGACTGCATACCCAAGGAACAGGTTGTAATAGGTCATGTTGTAGCTCAAAGCATTTTTAAGTGGGATTGTAAAAGATGTTAAAAATAGCTGTCACTTACCTCAAGCTTCAGGCCTAAATCTCCACCATTGTGTAAAAAGGAACATACACAACATTTATTTCTGTATGTTCTAGTTTCCATCAAAAGCACCCAACCAAGTGTGTTAATTATCCATTCAGACTTACAGGAGATGGAGTTCTGAAGGTCGTGGTGGACGGAGAGGTCACGATGCTCCGATGATTGCATATGATGCTCTCTTGGGATGTGGTGGTGACTGGACTGAGCTTTGCAACCGGGCCATTTTCCATGGTGGTGAGTAACCTAGTAATTATTTCATAACATACAGAAATGTAGTTCCTATAAGCTTTAGAGCATTTCCCCCCCTTCCTGATTCAAGCAAATTGGCTATCTTAGGTGACTCCTGGGCTTAGACTGTAGTAATTCTGAGCAGGATTGCACCGTTTATCTCATTCTGATTATTATGTGTGTTAAACTATTCAGCTGTTGCAATGTGTCCTTTAATGAAGTTGTGTGTTATATGTTTTACAACGAAGGAAAAGCTTTACCTGTTGATTTCTACTGGGAGTGCTACTTGTTCTACTGGCAGTGCTACCCATAAAGAACTAGTAACCCTAACATCTCTGTGGGGTGCTGGGGAGAGCCACAAAAGCATTGATTAATTTACCTCCAAACTTATACAATGGCCGAGTTCAGTTTGAAGCAGAAGGGAGTCGTGGCAAAAAAGACCCAGAACAAACTGTTCCGGGTTTTCCCGTTCACACTGCAGCAACTGATGTGGGAGCATACCAGGAGGAGGCGCAAGGAAGCGTTCACACTGTTGGCCCGCTCTGGCTGTAAGGCGTGGTTGTAAGGCTCTGCTTTCTTTTGGGTAATCTGGAGATATGCGCTCAAGAAAAACGCGGCTTTCGGCGTTCACACTTTGTTGGCACGGGATGGACACGGGATAATCGCACTTTCCAGGGTTTGATACCACTTTCACCTGGTATCTTTTAAACTCGGGAGGGAAGCGTTACGAGACGGGTTGAGTATGGCTGGAGAATGCTGGACAGATGTGCCTGTGTGAACGGCCCTTTTAATCCAGTTGTGAAATGTTTCTGGCTCGTGGCTATATCGGGGCAAACTGCCAATCTGAACTCAGCCAATCCGTATCTGTGATGAGGCACTTTTGTGGTTCTTCCCAGCACCCTACAGTGATCAGGAGCTTGTTTTACAGGAAGGCCATTTTAAGATGGAGATGTACAGTGGTGAGCCAGGTCCCATCCCAACCTGCAAAGAGCATTGCTAGCACGATCCATTCTCATACCCATCCATGCATTTCTCTTGCCTCTGGACTGGCAACAGGTATCCCTGTGGCATGGATGTGGCTTTGTACTCCTACTTGATGGTCTTTAGCCTATGCAGTTCAAGCGATATAGTTTAAAATACCGTTTTGTTTAAAATTTATTAGAGAGCCAGGTCAGTGCTGTGGTTAGACTGCTGGACTAGGTTCTAGGAGACCAAGATTCAAATTCCCACTCTGCCCCGGTAGTTTGCTTTCAGCCTAACCTACTTCACAGGGTAGTTGTGAGGATGAAGGAGGAAAGGAGAACAATGTAAGCTGCTTTGGGTCCCCACCAGTGTTCCCTCTAAGCTGAGTTAGTGTGAGCTAGCTCACAATTTTTTAGCCTCCGGCTCACACATTTTTGTCTCCGCTCAGGAAGGAGGGCACCAGAGCAAACTGATTTATGTGGCAGCCAAATTGCTCACTCACAACTTTAATGCCAGTAGCTCACAAAGTAGAATTTATGCTCACAGGACTCTACAGCTTAGAGGGAACAGTGGTCCCCACTGAGGGGAAAGATGGGGGGCATGAATCAATAAATAAATCTCCACTGTTACCCCTTTCCCAGCGGCAGAACTTCCTGATGGACAGCAGAGAGACTGAAAGATTCCTTATGTCTGATATTTTGTTCTGTCCCGTAGGTACCTGGTTTCACTGCTACACAGGCTTCTTTGTGAGCCAAATTGTAAAACTGATCTCATGCAGCAGGATAATGCAAAAGCAGAAAGTACTAGTGGCACATTTCTTGCTATAGCTGGTATTTAGGGTGAATCGTACCTCTAGGGATGCCAGCCTCTAGGTGGGACCTAGGGATGCCCCAGAATTACAGCTTATCTCCAAACTACAGAGATTTATTTATTTTATTTACCTTCAATTTGTATCCCGCCTTGCCGGTGCAAACTGGCTCAAGGCGGCTTACACAAGTTAAAATACAAGAAAACCAATAAATACAATCAAATTTCAATACGAACAATTACATAAAGTGTGAGATATAAACAGATGGCGGGAAATTTCTATACATGGTCCGCTGGAGAGAGGCCATATCCGGCGTTGTTACATAGGGCTGTGGTATGTTCAGTTTGCAATAGTTGTCAGTGGAGGCTCCTAATCGAAGGCCTGGTGGAAGAGCTCTGTTTTACAGGCCCTGCGGAAGTGTAAAAGGTCCCGCAGGGCCCTGATGTCCTCTAGGAGCTCATTCCACCAGTGTGGAGCCGCCACTGAAAAAGCCCTGGCCCTCGCAATGGCAATTTGGCATCTTTCAGTTCCCCTGGAGAAAAACAGATGCATTGGAGGGTGAACTCTTTGGCATTGTACCCCATTGTGGTCCCTGTCCTCCCCAGATACTGCTCCCAAATCTCTAGGACTTTCCCAACCTTGACCTGGCAACCCTACACCCCATCTCCTGCTGGTGGCCAGGAGGGACCTGGAAACCTTACTTTCTTCTCTTTGCACAGTTTTGAGAGACTGTAGGTAAAGTATAGGGGGAAAGTTGCCATTTGTACAATTATGCATTTATTTAAAGTTGCAGAATGTTCTCATGCAGACATTCTTCAATTTTTTTACCCTATTGTCCTGTCATTCCTAGATAGGCCTGTATAATTAAAGCAGTGGGTCAGGGAAAGGCTCTCCTGCATTGTGCTTTGGACTTTATTCAGTGCTGGCAAGGTTGGATGGTAGAAATTCCACTTAAGTGCTTGATGAAAATGTTAATACTACAGTCCTGAAGGTTTCCTTGGGTCATTTCAGAGATACAAGCAGAAATGCTGGAAGACATTTTCCCCTCTCTCTTGCTAACAGAGAACATACTGTTCCACCTTCCCACGGAACAGATGAAAGGCACACTAATGGACCTGGGTGTGTATGTTTGTGCTTGATTTTACAGGTGAAAGTGCAGCCACTGGAAGTATTGCTGGCTGTTTGTATGGATTACTTTACGGCCTCAACAAGGTCCCAAAAGGCTTGTATCAGGATCTTGAACAAAGGGAAAGGCTAGAACACTTGGGAGAGGCTATTTACCGACTGACTACCGAGGAAAAGTAAAGATTTTTCGGCATATTGTTTTCTTTTTATAAGTATTATAACACACCCTGTAGCCCAATTCATAAGAACCAGGCCCTAAATGTATTTGTAACCCTACTTCACATCAAATTCTGGTTTAATGGTTCAAACCTAAGAGACACTTCACACACAGGCTTTGTGTGAGTGTGCACATTAAAGCATACACCTAAAAATGTAATAGGTGAATGAGCAGTTACCAGTCTATGGAAATCATATAGAGGCATTAATCAGATAGCAGAATTGAGTGCAGCTGCCTATTAAATATGCCCTTGGTTATAAAACAGGATTTGCTGCCATGTAATGTGTAGAAAGGTCCTTAAATTTAATTATAACATTGTTTCAGGCACTGTAATAAGGAAATACTGTGCAGGTATAATTGAGTCCAAGAGTACCTAAATACAATCAGCCTTCCATATTTTAGATAATGTAATATTCACCTGCTACTTGAAGTATAGTCCCTCCCTATAATTTGAAAATGGAACCTTTCAACTTCCTCTGTTTATGAAATTGTTTCTCATTTGTAACACTGGATATCCCCATTCTTGATTTATGTCAACAACAGTATAATCCTAAACAGCACTGTACCCTTCTATGTCCATTGAAGTAATTAGCTTAAGTCTGCTAAGGATTGCATTTTAGCTGGAGCTCTTTTCAGTCATTATATTGAGGGAGATTGTCCAACTGCACGAACTGGGACCATACGCTACCCACAGTCCTCTTGATATGCATGGCTGCTATTTAATCCAAATAGGGCACAGCACATATTTTCTGCTTCAGTAACCATGATGTTTTTGTGTAGCATGTCCTGAAGCAGAAAATATGCATGGTCCCTATTCAGATGAAATGGAGACCACACATATCAGAAAGATCATGGTTAGTCTGCACTTCCGGTATGCATGATTCCACCCCCACCCCACGCCCCGGGACATAATGACTGTGAAGGACTTTACATGCAAAATGAACACTGTTTGCACACTTATTTAAGCCAAACTAATTTGATCATTCTTCAGAGGAAATGTTTCTGAGATTCTCTTCCCCCCCGTAATATTTACAATGAAGTCTTTCTGTTTTCCTCTCAGTTCTTTAATCTCAGCACTTCTTTGTCACCAACTAACTCACAAATTCACTCAATAGTGTTCCTTTCTTAAAACTGCAGTCTGAAATTACAGCCAGCACCAGGAAGTTGTCCAAGCTATGGCAGTGTACAAACAGATACAAAGAAATGTGCCAATACATACTGCAAATCATTTATAGATTTTTGGTGTGTTTTTTAAGAAATCCTAGACAAACTTTTTAAAGATTTGGGTGACTAAAAATACTTATAAATAAATCAATCTTATGCCTCTTCATAAGCATCTTTCTTTATTTTCACCACGGCGCTTACTGCATGTTACTGTGTTCATTGCTGAAATTCTTGCTTGCTCTTGTTAGCAGGTCACTGTTGGTCAAGATTAGGATGAATTTTGTGTAACCAAAAATTTATCCCATTGAGAAGTCTGAGAGATCAGGTTCTGGGACAGGAAGGAGGCAGAAAAGAGAGTGGCATAGAGAGAGAATTAAATCCAGTGTCCGGTATCAAAAGGGTCAAAACTCCACATTAGACAATGTGAAAATGATCAAATTGCTTTTAATTCTTCTGGCTTCACCCTACCCCAGAAACTCAAGATCATCACAAATATTATACCTTGGTAGATCTGTCCAAGGAGGGCAGGAGGTGAGTTCCCTAATTCCCCCTATTCTACTCACCCCACCCTTTCCTCCTCAGATCTCCCCGTTGCTAATCTGTCTCATTTGGTCCTTGGTCCTGATAGGCTCCAGAGTGTTCTAAAGCAGGCAGGGAACAGGTGTATGCTGGGATAAGCCAGTTAGCTGTGGCTGTTGTTCAGAGAAGCCTTGCCTTTGATCCTTGAATGGTCCAAGCCCGGCCCAGATGGAGAAAAAGGAACAATCAGAGAAGCTCAGGTGGCTCTGTCCATTTCACACATAGAGACAACCTGCCTCTCCTTCCCAGGACAAGTCTTCACTGGTTTAATTTTCTCCACTTCCTCCTGGAACATGCAAGTCAAAATCTTGATATCTTAATATGAGTTCAGCACTGATCTCTCCTCCTTTTAAAACACACATACAATAAGGGGGGGGGGAGGGAATCCTAATTTACTTATCCATTTTTACTGCTGCCACGATAAGGGAAGTAGGTAATGCCACTGAAAAAGACTGTGGGTAGAAAATGAGGCAGTCTAGTTTGGTTGGATCTGAATTTCTGTACCGCATGCAGAAGGGCATTGCTGCTTGCACAAAGGAGGGGAATGGTTTCTATTGATTTCTTCTTCCCACGACATGCCCTCCTCTGACACATACAACACATGTCTCCTTGACTCCTTCTGAGAGTTCCTGGGCTATTTGGTGGCTTTTAAGCAAATGCAGCAAGTTGCAACATGACAGGCAATTATTAGGACCTGACACTGTTTTATAATATTTTCTTTGGTTTAAAACCATATATTGGGCAATACTTTTAAAAAAACATTTAGATGTAATTTTTTTTAAAAAAATCTCACTTTCTGATGAAGTGATGAACTGAAGTCCTATGGATTTCAGCATGAGACAAAGTATGTTTGCCCCACTAAATTGGATGTACAGTACATCCCATTGAATCTGTTCAACAGAACAGAACAGAATAGAATCTGTTCCTCAGAAGTAAGTCCCACTGAGTTCCATGGGGTTTACGTTCTGGTAATATACAATTATATATGCACATACTGTTGCTGGATTCTTGCAAGTTAAATAAATCTATTGTTGTCCTTTTAAACAGCTAAGTCACCCTTGTAGATATAAGCGGTGGGAAACAAACAAACAAAGCCCCCCCCCATTCCCACAAATAGATCTAACAATGCATTCTAAACCATATTTGAACTGAAATACTTCCATTTCTCTCTGATTTGAAGACTTCTATCATCTGTTTCTGTTAAGGGACGATGATCAGATTTAATAAACGCAACTCTCCAAGCAGTGACTTCATCCATTCTTCCACGTACGTGTCATGGCACAGCTTCAGCGAAATGGTGCTTTTTATAAATGCATCACCACATATGTTATTCACGGGGGAGGGAGGACCCCCGTCTTACAATGAGATCTAATTACTCTTCTTTATACTGTGGTGCATACTACTTGTTGTAGCCTATGGTCTTCCTAAACAATTTTCAGAACAATATGCTTCATTTTAATGTTCTTGTATGTGATGTTTATCTGTGAGTAAAAGCTCCAAGGAATGGATTCTGCCATCTTTATTTACAAACCGTAGATACCATTTAGACAGGATGGAGAGGGCAATCAACCCCATACTGCTGTTTCTTTGGAACATCTACATTTCTGGTTGCTGTGAGGCACTAAAAATGATAACCGCAAGAAACGCTCTTAAAGCACACTGCTTAATCTGAGTAGATCCAAAAACAGAACTCTGTGACACTGAATCTTTTCCTCCCACCCACCCCAAGCACTCTTGTGTCCTTCCCCCACTCAAACTGTTTATAGGTAATGGCCACAAAGATGACTGGTCACCAGCACTCTTCAATCATCCTGCTGTTGGGACCCACCTAGAGCAAGGTGGACTGGCTGACTCACAATGGGGTGGATGGCAGAATCTATCTGAATGTAGCAGCTTATGCTGATAGTTGAAATCTGGGAAGCACTTTTCAATGATCTGGGTACCTTACTGCTGTGCAATTGGGATCAAATGCTGAGCTCCTAAAGACAAAAGTTACATTTGGTCTTGTATTCACCAGAGCCAGAATTTCATCCCAACATGAATTGTTGCCTTGCTTTTGTTTGTATATGAAGAGGTATAAAACTGTAATGCCTTCCTGGTATGTAAACTGAAACCCATTCACATGCTTTTTTTTTTTACTCCATGAATTAACCTCTCAATTTTTATTTTTTTCGGTGCTAGAAATTTGAATCCTCTAGTGTGTGTTTACTCCCTCTAGGCTATTGTCTGTTGACTTCACTCTGCAGCTTCCACACTGAGTTCACTATTTTATTTAGCAACTGATCCTCACCAGTTAAAGCACTTCCTAAATCCCCAGCTGCCTGTAGGCCTAATTCTTCAGACTGTAGTTATAGCCATGCCAGGACTCCAACTCCATCGTAATAGCTGAAGGGAAAGACAGAGGTCAATTGATATTGCTGTGGATATAAACTGTTTTTACTCCTGCGGTCTCATTGGGATGATCCTCTGGGAAAAGAGATTGTAAGAGAACATGTCCCCGAATAACTAGTGGGATGTCAGATTTGATTTTCATGTGGCCCAGAATGAGTTGTGTTACATTGGACAAAAGTACAGACTACCTGACTTGGTTTGTGTCGCAGACTTTCACCCCTAATTAGATCTTCAACTCATGCAACTATCTTGCTACAAAATAAAGTGGGTTGAGAAGTCAAAGACCTGTGCAGCATAGTCTGCTTTACCCTTCCTTTAGTAGCTCCCTGTTGCAATAGTTGCACGGATATAACTCTGCTTGTATGTCAAAAAGTGTACAAAATATACAACGCTGTGTATAATCCTATTATGATTCCAAGTAACTGCCATAATCTATGCAAAAAGATGTTGAGCCATGGTGATGCTTATACCTAAGCTTATCAATGCGTATCGAAAATTATTTAAAGACATATACAGTTACTACAAAATAGTCAAGGAAATGTGCTGTCTCATGAGTAAGTTCATGCATAATATGACCAAAGTCTCAGTAAATGTAACTTCAGCGTTCCGGGTGGTGTTTTTAAATATGATTCATGCTCATTCTCCATATTGTGTGCTTTGAATTTTGTGTATGTTAAATGTTTTATATTGTCCCAGAATTGTTCTATTATTGAAATTTAAATTGGTTCCAATCTTGAAAAGGCCTTGGGTGAAATGTGATTTCCATTAGCTGGCTTGCTTGTTGGGGTCACTGGAGCTGCATAGCACAGGAATTGCTACAGTGGAGATTGTCTTTGCATTCGACTTGGAGTAAGAGAGATAGATCACCTTGAATTCACCATGGGAATGATAAGTTATACCTAAGCGTTGCTATGGTTCGACATATTTTTTATAGATTGTGGCAGGTACTTGGAATCACAATAGGATTATAGTGTTGTAATTTTTGTACACTTTTGACTATGCGTCTCACTTTTGGTGTATGTCAAAAAGTGGCAGATTGGTTTGGGAGTGTCAAAAACAGTTTGTGCTCTGTCGAAAGAGAAAAAAAATTAAAAATCCACTGTGCTTATACAAATGTTTTGCCGGGACTCCACCATATTTTGCCAGTGTCCTATACCTCACTGTTCCTGCTCCCTTTAGCCAAGGCACAGAAGAAAGTTATGTAAAACTCTGCACTACCTAATATCGGCTTGGAACCTATGAATGATTGCAGATCCTTTCTGCTTCCACCTCCTCTAGCAGCATCCTGTGACTTCTGAAGAGATGCATGGTGGATCTAGCTTTCCATCATCAAAGAGGGGTGGGGAGGATAGACTTTCTCCTCCTCACGGCAGACTCACATGTCACTTCGACATTTTGTCCATGAGGTTCATCTGGCCTTCAGGATCAGCTTTTCAGGGAGTCACAGGAAATTCCTGGGGGCAGTGGGAGGTGGGAAATGTCTGCAACCACAAGTGCTTTCTGCTCGCAGTTCATAGGATCCAAACCACTGGTGGTTTCCTCCCCATTCTGGTACAGCTTCTTATTGGCTCAGCAGGATGCTAAGGGACTAAGCCTCTGGGAAATTTCTGCAGGGGTGTGCTCTTTTCCACCATTTAAAAAAAAATATGTATATGCACCATGCCTATACTGTACATGCTTACTGTGGATAGTGGATAATGCTGGGCAACTACCAGTAACCAGGGCTCTAGTCAGGGGGGAGCTCTCAGGTACGGAGCTCCGGAAGAGAACCTCTAGGGGGCGGGGCGGTCACGTGGTGAAGCCCCGCCCCCTTCTTTACCCCGCCCTCTGCTTCGATCCTCATTCCGTTTGGGAATGAGGATGAAGCAGGAGGGTAAGTAGCCAGGCCTTCTGACACACTTCCGGTGATGTCAGGGGGCGTGGCATATGCAAATAAGTTATGCTAATGAGTTATGCTAATGAGCTCCGGCAGCTCTTTTTCTACAACAAGACCCCTGCCAGTAACCATTGGTTGATGGTGGCCTTTAACATGATTGTTATATTTATCTACCTTTTGCACTGGACAAGTGTTCATACCAGTGTGTCACTGTAAAGTACGTACTTCAAAACAGTAAGGAAGTAAAAACGATGCTGATGGCTTCAAAACAGGCATTTTTCTTTTGTACAGAAGCAGAGAAGGTACCAGGCT